ATTCTCAATATATTTATTTTACTTATATTTTATTTTACTAAATTAGTTAGTTTATAGTATAGTAATTAATTAGCTGTAATAAAAGAAATTTTGTATAAATAGATAGACTTTTTACTTATGTTGTAAATTAACTCTTTTATGAATTAACAATTGAGTTTCAATATTAATAAAGAAATCATTCAAAATTTATATCTTTCTGCCTTTTCGTGTTTTCATATAGTATGATGTGATTCTTACACATTATTTGTAATTGAGTTTGTCATCTGAATTCTTTAATTAAATTGTTCATAATCTCATTTTTTAAGTCTTCATACTTGATAGATTTGTTTAAATCTAACATGTAAATTTGGTAAAGTTAAGAGTTAAGCAGATCCTAATGTCTTGATCATAGTAAGCTGCAGTTAGAAACTTTGAATAAAGATTTAATAACATGATCAACTTGAGTTGAAGAAATCCACGGTATCATTATTAATAACTTTATTACTACTAATAGATATGTCTATTTTAATAGTATTGTGATGTAATCAAAATATGTCAGTATGATAAAGCAAAAGATGTTAGAGCTGTAATGTTTGATATATTTGGTAAAGTAAATTTAACTTATATCAATACTATTGCAGGAGTAGATGATATTTGAGCATTTAAAAACTCTAAAAAATAAAAGAAGCATTTAGATACCTATTCAAAACTGATGATGATAATAATCTTTTATATATTGAAATAATTAAAAAAAGCATAGAAAAATAATTACTATAAAGATGAATATAGCTTTTACCTTAGCTATATATAAAATTGTATTAAATCTAAAGCATCTAAAATTTTATTAGTTACGATACTTTGTATAATCATTTTAATATTTATTAGGTTAATTTTTATTTATTTATTCTTTTAGCATATTTTTAATTTATATATTCTTTTATTTATTATACATTTTAAATTAATAGGATTGTATTTATACAGTAGTGATCATAAGTATCTAACAGTCTGAAATCGTCTAAAATTATTATATAATTACTCTTAAATTTTCCAGAAATATAATGTAATATAATACATGATTACCTGTAAATTTATAAGTGTCAATAATACAAAAAAAAATTTAGATGATCATTAAACTTTCGCTTGAAAAATAAAACTTTCTTTAGAGAAATGATATGAAATTGTCTTTTTACGTGAGTATTCAGCTAGTCTAAAGTTTAGTTTTAGATTTATTATTAAACAGATACGTTGTAATAAGTCTACAGCTATTTATTGGATTAAAAAATATCATGAAAATCAGGACCTAAGTACTTCAAAAGATTAGGGTAGCCTTATGTATATCCGCAAAATAAGATGACAAAATTGTAAAGATGGCAGAGAAAAAACATAATATAACAGCCATTCAAATACAAAAAAAGATGGAAGAAAGAGGTATTGGGCTTAATGTAAAAATAGTAAAGCATTTTCATAAGTCTGAAGGAAAGTTTAATAATGAAATTTCTAAACCTTTGCTTAAAGAAAACCATTTAAAAAAAAGGTTGCAATGGGCAAAAAAACATAAGAATTTTTATTGGAATCGAGTTGTTTTTACAGATAAGAGTACATTTTAATTATATATATCAAAAAAAAGGTTTGGCAGTTTCCTGGTAAAAAAAAGTGGTTTGTTCTATAGAGGGTCGCTAAAAGTTTCTGAACACTTTTTGGCTCATTAAAAAACTTAAAATTTTATAATATGAATAAAAAAAGTTTATTAATATCTTTATTAAAATAAGATATTCGCTAAGTTTTGTATTAAGTAATTAATACTTAGTTGGGCCTCTCTTTGCTTTAATTACAGCTTGAATTCACTGTGGCATACTATCGACTAAATTTTCGATAGTTTGTATCAGAATTTTTCTCTATGACTTGTTAACATATTGTTCGAGTTCAGCAATATTAGAAGGCATTTTTTTTCTTCCACAAATGCTTTTCTTAACATCTGCTCACAGATTTTAATCAGATTGAAATCTGGACTTTGAGTCGACCAAGAAAGTTTGCGTAAGCCATTTTCTGTGTAAAATTTCTTCACAACTTTCGATGTGTGTAGACGAGCGTTATTCTTTTAGAACTAACTATCACCATTTGGAAATACACGTCTCATAGTTCGCATGACAAACCTTTAAAGGATAGTAACATGTGAGATACCGGTTGCTGTTCTAAATAATGGAACAATAGGTCCTACATCTTGTTTCAAAAAGCATCTCCAAAATATTCAACTTGGGCTATACTTTACTGTTGCAAAAACACAAGAAATGTTGTATTCTTCACTAGGTTTTCGCTAAACTCTACTGCACTGAGATTGTTGAAATTTAGAAAAGGTTGACTCGTCACTCTACAGAACTTTTGACCAATCGTCATTTGTCCAACTTTGATGTTTTAAGCATCATGCAAAACGTGCCTCTATATTTACTGATGAGATTAGAGGCTTATATTGAGTAATACGATTATTTAATCTAACTGCATGAAGTGCACAACCAATAGTGCGAGTTAAAATAACTTGGCCAGTCTTTTTATTCCAGAATTGTTAAATTTCTGGAGTATATAAGCGACGGTTCTTTCTATTATTATTGGTTATAAATTTCTTAAGCCAGTTTTGTTGTAAAGGTCTAAGAAGAGATGGTCGGCTGAAGCGAGACCTCGAATTAGTTGTTCCAGTGTCATCCATTCTTTTCAAAGTGTCAAATACTGTTGACACACTACATCTGACTGTTGTGACAATAGTTTGATAACTATCATCATGTTGACAGTAAAAAGATATAGCGCTGTGTTGTTCTGCAGTTAATTCTTTAAACATTATTTAGGTATTTTTGGGATTAAAGTTTATTTTGATTCAAAATCAAAATAAACAAATTGAATACGTATTTATTATGTTTGATTCATATAAATAAAGTCTGAAACATCATATGACTGCAGTATTATTAAATCACATGATGTTAACGGCATGAAATCACATCTAAAAAATGGTGTTCAGAGACTTTTGGTGGCCCTCTGTATTAAGCATTCACTAAAAGTTCATGTTTGAGGATATTTTTCTGCTTCTAGATTTGGTAAGCTATTTTGCTTTCAGAGAAATCTTAATGCTGAATTTATGTGTACTATTTATGAGCAGGGTCTTCTGACTTTCACCTCTAAACTTTTTGGTGAAGGTAATATAGATTAGATCTTGTAAGAAGAAATGATCCAAAGCATTGATTAAAAATCGTGAAAAAATAGAAGGAAGAAAATAGTATTGAGGTACTTTCTTAGTCATCAATATCCCAGACTAAAATCTTATAAAAAACATTTAGAGGTTAATGAAAATTAATATACAAAAAAAAATTCAATCAATTAGA